GCAAATTGAATTAAGCCTTATATAATTGAAATTAAGCCTTAGAGTTATGGTTAGGGCTCAAGGCTTGAGCCAAAATTAAATTTTTACATAATTTCAACTTCAATCTGAAGTTCCACAATCTGAAGTTATTTTTACAATCTATTTTTATTACATTATTTTCTAGAGGAGAATCTAAAAGCCCAAAAACTGCATGAAAAAAAATTAAAAAGTATTGATTCTTTTTTTCGATTATATTTTTTCTAATTCCACTCTAAAAAAATCAGTAATGCTTTTAATTTTCCAATTTCGCTTGGCAATTTTACGAGTATCATAAAAAACGAAAAAAAACATTTCGATTACATTCATTCATTTATATAGACAAATCATATTAGAAAATAAATATTTATTATTTACTTATTCCTTACTTGTAGGTACTTATTTTTACTTATCGCTTATCACTTACTTGTAGAGATTGCTTATCATCTACTTGTAGGTGTTTGTAATTTCTTGATACTTGTCACTTGTAGATATTTATTATCACTTATTTGTTACTTATAAATATTTAATATTACTTAATATTCAATATTACTTCTCACTTCTCTCTTACTTTGTCGCAAAATACCTAATTTTTTGAGAATTTTTAAAATAACAAACACCCTATAGTTAATTCATGATTTTTATGAATTAATACTTTCCTACTAAATATTTTTCACTTTAATAAATATTTATTATTTTATTTATCCAATTATTTATTTATAAATTTCGATATTATGATTTTTTAAAAATTTTTTTCCAATAAAACTTTTGAAACATATTAATTGAATAGTAAAGAATGGAATAGTACATTTAGTGTTAAATATGTGCAAAAGTTTTATCTTTTCATCTAAAAATAGCTTTTATTTATTTTATTTCAAATTATGAATTTATTTCAACTAATAATTAAAATACCAAAAAAGGTTTTTCAAAAAAAAAGTTATTTTTATATTATATTAGTTGTACTTTTATATTAGTTAAATTTAGACATAATTTATTGAATAATTTATTAATTTATTAAAAAAAAAATACTCGGAAATATAGAAAATTGCATTTTTTCTTAAGAAATTTTCATTTTATTTCATATTTTCTTTTTTTTATTGTAAAACCGATAAGAAAGTTTATTGGCGAAAATATAAAGAAAAAAATTTAAGATATTCAAAGTAATTGCCAATTTGAGTGATAATAAAGCGATGAATCTGCTGGGAATCACTTGAATGAGATGACGGTAAAAGGCCCTACTCATTTCAAATGACCCTATGGCTTTTGGATGAATGTTAAGACTCCATTTTTTTTCATACATTAAGCCTGGTTCAATTCCTGCATTTCATTCATCTTCTATTTCAGCATTTCCGCTCCATCTGGAATTGGTGTTATATTGATAATGTTATGATATAAAAATTATCTCAACGATTTTTCTTGTTTTAACCGCATCTCATTTCCACTTAAAATTGTTTCATTCACCAAAATTTAACAAATTTTAACATTAAAAGTTTTTGATGAAAAAATTTCATTGTTCATTTGAGTTAAATCACAATGATCACAATGCTACTAAATCGTTGATAAATTTATTGGCATATTGGTTGAAAATAAGGTGTTCGTTTAAAAATTTATCAAATGTGCTTTGGTTATGATGTTAAGGTTTAAAATATTTTGGCCCATTATAAAATGAGTAGAGTCGCCGTTCTGGTTAACCTATATTTGCTTGCTAATAGGTAATCATAAATTTTTGTCAAGAAGTCATTTGGCGATGGCAGTACGGATGAGTCTCCAACATTACCCGAATTTTTCAAAGGTATTCCACCTGATAGAAAGAGTGCGAACTTTAGTTCTTTAATAGAATGGTCTAAATCACTATCCATTTTGCAATTCTGCTTGCTTATGAAGAATGCATAAAGTTGGCTGAAATTTTTTAATTATTTGTTTCCATGAACAAGTTATCAATAATTAATAAAACAACTCGTATTAAGCATCTACCGTAAGATTAAATCATTTGCTTCAAAACATTTAATATAATAAATACATTTAATATAACATTTAATAGATTTAAATCTATTTATTGTTATTTTCTCAACTAAAAATTTTTTTATTAATACAGAATTCATTGTAAATTTAAATGGCAAAAGAAAAAATTTGCTAAAACTTTAAAAACGAATGCAATTTATTTTTTCTTCTTCACAAATTATCATTGCCTAATATTTTCCAGCTCTAATTATCCTTATCATTCCTAAGCATTTCCTGGGGAGAACATCCATGAGTTATCTACAAACCGAAATATATATCGAGGAGACGGAAATTATTAGTCTCGATTCGTTGTGCATTTGTACATGGTAGTTTGCAGTTAATTCTGCTTTTCTCCCTATCAACTGATAACAATATTATGAAAATTTTTCCTCTAGAACGGTATTTTAATATGTTTCCTTAGAAATAATTAATTTGCCTAAAAACAGTGTTGGATCAATGAAAAAAATGAAAAAGTTATGGGGAAAAAAGGTGCGAAAAAGTTATTAGAAAAGTAGTTGCATCAAGGCCAAGAACAAAGAAATCAAAATTTAAAAACTAATGAATTTTTTATCTTATTTTTGTTAAAAACAATTCATATTCACGCATTGCATGCAAATGAGAAAGAAGTTCTGACTTAAAATTCAATTCAACCGTATTTCTTCGATCAGCTGAAGGATTTATATTAAAATTAAGATTTTACCTAAAATTTTTTGTTAATTTTTATAAAAATTGTATGGCTATTAGAGGCGTTTCCTCGAATTTCAAAAGCTTTCTTAAAACGCCTAAAAATTTTTGTTAATATTCGTATTAAGAAAGTTATCAAAATAAAGACATTTACATTGCATGAAGTTAAAGCCTAGCTAAGCCTAGCAAAAAAAAGATGAAGTTCTCTCTATAAATAAGTATATATTTAAAAATTATTTATGTTGAAATAAATACAAAAAATATATATGCGGTTTGAACAGTGGCTAAGTTGCCATCAAATTTTATTCAGATTTTATTAAATTTTATTAAATTTAAGATATGCTTACTTTAAATATGTTAAATATGTTAGTCGAACGTTTATTTGCTTATATAGTGGAAAAAACTAAATAAAAATTTCGTTGGTTAGTAATTTTCAAAATGGTCTGCGTACATTTTATTGGTAATGGAACTTCTCCTGAAAGCACCCACTTTCTGATTTGGATCATTGTACTGACTGTGCAGCATAAGGCATGAGACTCAGGCTTATTTTCTATAAGGAGACTTTCAGGAATCGCAGCACCTAGATAATTTAATATTAGTACGGTTTATGTAGCTTAAAAATTTTGCTTTTTTCTTATTTCCATTCGAAAATCCCATCATTAATTATATAAATAAAATTCCTATAAGAACAGAAAACTTTGTTGAAAAAAGCTTCTGTGGCATATTTAGATGTTACTGTGTTCCTGGTTTCATTCTTTCCTCAGGACTATAGCGATTATTTTCGCCAATATTAATATTTCTTATAAATTTTAATTTTAAGTAAAAATAATTATGCAAAAATAATAATCAGCTGGCTTATTCAATTGAATTTCCCTCGTGCTGAAGGTTGATATGCGCAAATTCTTGTTTATTTTATATAGTATTAATTCTTGATGAGATTTAGGAATTTTAACAAATCCAGAAAATAAAACTTACAGATTATCTTAAAATAAAGGTAACAGAGAAAATTGCTGAGATCGCTCGTGGAAATATGCGTAATTTTTTCGAGTTCAAGTTTTCAAAATGAAGAGCAGCGCCGCCCTTTCTAGTAAATTGCTGATTAAATTATTTGGTTCGTTGATTTCGTATTTTCAGGTTCTTCAAACTTTTTCAATCATTTTTTAATTTTTTTTATACATATGACAGAGGGTAATAAGGGAAACTAGTGACATGTAGTAGCATGGTTCAATGAGTTGTTATTGTCTCATTTCGGAGCACTGATGTTGGCGTTCTTTCAACGAGAGGAATTGTCTGGGTGTTGCTGACAATTCCTTCACTGTATCCTTATCCTTCAAATAACTCTTTAATAAAAACTACTTTGTCCAGCAAGCCAGCGAAGTGAGTCAGAAATGGTGGGTATTCTTAGGGAAAAAAAAGAAACTGATAATAATAATTATGAATGGTAATAATGGTAATTGCACAAAAATATTGAATTCCCTTATAAATCTATCGAGGTTGTTCAGCGCAATTCCATTTTTGCTATTATTTATTATATAGAAAAATGTTTCTTATTTCTTTTATTTTTCAAAAAATTTGTAAAAAAATAGTCAAAATGAAGTTTCTTATTGACAAATTAAAATGGATTTTTAAAAAAAATAATATAATTGAAAAATCTTTGGCATAAAAATTTGTAAAGAGGGAAGTTTTTCCTCATGAAACCAATTCGTTTTCTTTTATGGAAAACGAAACGAAATGTTTCTGAATTTCTAAACGAATTTCTAAGGTAAAGAACTGCTATTGCGATCGCCACTGAATTTGTATTGCATCTGCATATAATTCATTTTGCATAATTTCATTAAATCGCTTTTAAAGCATCGAAGCTATGCAAATACGCTTTATGCTTCTTGAAACAGATTTAACCATATTTTTATTTCGTATTTATTTACAAATTTCATAAATTCGCTTATACATTCATTTCATTTGAAATGCGAATAAAAGGGATACGAAAAAATTGGCCAAATTTTTAGTTTTCGTGATTGCTTTCGAATGGATAATAGAGTGCTTTTCAGATTTCGCAAAAAAATTATTAACTTTTGCGATAATTTTAAAAGCGAATGAACTCTTTATGGCCAATAGCCATTTAAAAATCCGATGCAGAAAATTCTTTCAAGATTCAAAGATCAGTTAGGCAAAAGTCTCATACTTTATTTTTTATTCCGTTATATAATCATTACAATCAATTTTGTAATATCATCGTAATCTCTTGGCATTTTCCTATTATTACATATGCTAACACTCAAATACAATAATGAATTTCAGGAATGAATGAATCAAATGCAATATCAGACGAAACAATAGTTGATACTGGTTTAAACAATTATCATATTTTATCATTTCTTTTAGTATTACTACCTGCAACAGCGATTTTTGGGAATGTTCTAGTTATCGTTGCGGTTTATAAGGAGAGAACTCTAAAAACTGTTACAAATCTATTAATTGTCTCACTTGCCGTTTCCGATTTTCTGGTATCTTTTTTAAATTAAATTTATTTTTTAATCCTCTCAGAGAAATTTAAAATAAAAAAAATCGTGAAAAAGTATATTGCGTAAGTGTTGGATTTGAATTAAGTCACATCACTAGGACATTTTAAAAAATAGGGCAAAAAAAGCAGGAAATTTAATATATGAACTAAATTAGCCTTCAGCGAGCTAACTTCGCAATTCATTAATTTCAGGTTCTATTAATTTTAAGTGGGCTGAAGCGATTTTCTCTTTGCTTATAGTACTTAAAATATATAAGTTTTTTACGTTAATATTTACTAAATCTTTCCATTTTGTGATTTCAGGTTGCCCTTTGCGTAATGTCATTTGCTATATATTTTGAGGTATTTTATTTTATTGCGTAATATTTCTGAATTTATAGTTCCTGATTCCAATTTTTGTTAAAATAAATGTTAATCATCTATTATTAAAATCCAAAAAATCTAATAATAAATCAAGTCTTATTCATCTAATGAACATAGAAATATTTACATCAAAATTGCTTACGAATTCTAATTTTATGCCCGTAGGCAACATAGAAATATTCTATAGAATATTCAATAATTTTCGTGTTATAAATTTTTCGCATAAATTTTCGCACATTTTTTTTCAATTTTCATCATATAATTTAACGCTTTCCATAGTTATAGAAATAAAATTTGTTTGAAGTCGAGCGAGATGAATAACTGTCGTCCGTATGTTAGATGCTTCTGAAACGAGAATTTAGCCAAAGCGAACTGTAGATTTTTTGAAGTGTTGAAAGTTTAGAATTAATTAAGCCTATTTGAAAATTTGCTTAATTTTTTCTTTAGCACAAATCGCATTATTGAGCTTTTAAATAAACTTATTATTGTTATGCCAACTATTTGCGATAATTGTTTTAGAGTTTTAGAAACTACAAGAATATTTCATTTGGAGAGCATTATTTGGCCAAAAATTTAAATATTGCATTTAATCGTCATTTAGTTACATAATTGTTATTACTGCAATTGGATGCTGTGGAAAATAGAATTCAAAATTTTATCACCTAACTTTTCAAAATATGGCAATCGGCAATTGAAAATTTGTGATTGCCTACTGCGATCGTAGAATCCAATTTTTTTACTATTATTAAAGTTCCCCTTTAATTTTAGTATTGCTTTATTGCTTTCTTAAGCAAAAACGTCACATCGCAGCTATTTTTTAACCTTTCTAATATTTAATATTTAAAAGAAATTCATTTAATTTTGCAAGCACATTCAAAATTGCGATGTGACATTTTCATAACTTTCAATCATTTTTATTAAAATCGGGTTTTCTTTAATTCATTTCTGTATACTTTATTTTCCTCGTTTCGGACATATTTTTTTATGCAATAAATAACAATAAAAAGGTTTTATTAAAATATTAGAAAATCCAATTTTAATAAACAAATTGATTCAACACGCTAAATATATTTTCATACAATTATTTCCCTTTCAACTTAATTCAAAAAAAGGACACTTGTGGAGAACTTTTCTTTTTTTTAAATACGCATATCGAAAGAAGAAAGAAATAGGCTGCAAGAATACTAATTTTCCATCGAAATTAAGTAATCTATTGCAAAAGTTTTCAGCTGAATTCATTTGTATGGAATTTGGGGCCGATTTTTTGTAATATATATTTGGCTGCGGATGTTTCTTGTTCAACAGCTTCAATACTTAATTTATTTGCGATTTCACTTGATAGGTTCGGTTTAGCTAATTTCATAATTTTTTTAAATTTTAGTAATATTTAGTAATTTTATAATATATATTTTTGTAAACGAAATTATTTAGTTGCTTCAACCTCTCTCTGATTCTATAATTCCTAACCATGTGCTATTGAAAAAACTCGATTTTTTAATTATTTATCGTTAGTGTTGGCGTCTATTTTTTATAATCAGCTTCACTAATAAACATTTAAAAATGAAGCTGAGAATAATGTTTCTCGAAATTTTTATTCTTGATTAAAGTGCTATGAAAAATAATGCAAAATTAAAATTAAGAAAAAATAGTGGATTAATTTCCTTTGTAAAATAGATTTATTGACTGAAAATTTAAATTATTTCGTTTAATTTATTTGCTTTTTTATTTTGTTTTTTATTTTCGTATACTTCTAAAACTATTTTTATTATAATTGTCAATTGAGAATTCAGTAAATTTATGAAATATTTTCGTTTATCAAAGTGTAATTAATAATTTTTTTTTAAGAAAATTGTTGATATTTATTTTTCTTTTTATATCATTTTAATTTATCATCAAAAGACAAATTAATCTAAGTTGAAGTAGTGGAAATAAGTACATTGTTTCGCATCTTTTGCTCAGAAGGACTTCGTTATACTTTTAAAAAACTATTGAGATTATTTATGTTGGTTACACTTACACTAATCTGTATTAGGACTTATTGAATACTGATATTTTTATAGGATTATCAGATTATCAGATTAAAAAGAATTTTCACACTATTTACTAGAATGCAAGCTATGTATATAGTATATAATATATGTATAAATTTATGTATACTTGCCAAAGAAAATTGTAAGATTATTAAATTACTAAAAGATTGCTCAGAAAATTCTTAAGAGATTTACAGGGATTCTCGGAACCACACTTGTAACCCATATTTTACGACAGTTAGAGAGCAAAAAGTGATCCACGACAGTGACCCCACAGTCTTCAGTCCTTAGTTCCTAAGTTCCTAAGTTTAATTGGCTGCAGACGAAGAAAAAAAAATAGCTAAGGTTTAAAGGGTTTTTTTTAAAAAGAGTCCTCACCATTACTGGTTAACCTTGCTTTACTGGCTTATCTCAATTGGGCAATATGCCAAGGAGTCCCTTGGTGATAGAAATACAGGTGAGTCGCCAGCATCACTCGTATTTTTGTATAGATTTACTCGTGTAAGAAATCTAGCACTCCCAATTGAGCAAAACCCACTGAGCCATTCCATTCCCTAAGGTCTAATGGGTTTGCAAGAGAAAAACATGAGTTGAGCTAACTTAAGGAAGCAGAACCAATTTTTAACAATTTTGAAGACTTTGGTAGAATTTAAGAATTTTTAGAAAAAAATAGAACAAACAAGACAAGAATAAACCAAAGTAAAAAACAAATAAAAAATTGTTAAAAACAGACGATACAATAAATGAACAATATAAATATATCACTGAGGCAAACAATAGATGACAACATAATTAAAAAGCCCTATCACTTCGCAGATGCTAATCATCAAAATAATGGCCAATAACAATCGTTCTGCGGCGAAGAGCTTTACAAATTCCTTAAAATCCATTGTAATTCTTTGAAATTTGTATTTAAAAATCATTTTTATTATAGTGCATAAGTACCTTAAATATCAGAAAATTGTATTTATAAAATAAAATAAAATTCATAAAATAAAAAAAAGACAATAAAAATTGGAAAAAAAAGGACAAAATTGAAGTTCATTTAATATAGATATATTGCCATAAGTTATCCCATCAAGTATGCACAATACGGCACGAAGCGGACACGTGCTCATATGTTCATTGCGTTTGTATGGGGATTATCAATTGCTGTTGGATTGCCCATTCTCCTTGGTGTGAATGCTGTTGATAATACAGACGTATGGTCTTCAATATTCAATTTTCTTTCTTAAATTTTTTGCCTTTCGTATTTCAAATTTTAAAATTCCTACATGATTGATTGATTAAAATTTTTGAATGTTTCTTATCATTTGATCAATTATTGATATTTTAATTATTTCTATTATTTAATTGATCCAACACCAAATTTATTCGAAAAATTATAATAATAATTTCTTTTACGTTCCTTAAAATCAAATTATTTTTGGAAATATAAATAGAAAATGAAATTCATATGCTAAATCGACTTTGGCAAATTGATTTCTTTGAAATCAAATTAATTTCAATTGGTAATAAAAATAATGAATCTCTTGATAAATGATAAATGATAATATAAAAATTCTGCGAGATTTTTAGCAATGTGAATTCACTAACGCAATTTTTATAATATTATCGTCGTTATTATCATTTTTTCTTCCATGTGCAGCAATGCTTATACTTTATGCAATTATATTTCATCGTCTTAGGAAACGTGAAAAGGCTCGAAGTTATAGTAAGCATATATCGACAATCAAAATCAGAGGTTAAATTTTTTTGATATTTTCTTTTATTATTGGTACTTCACTTTATTATTGTCCATATTACAAAATTCTTTCCTCTTGAGTTTCATTTTCATTAAAATTCTTAAATTTTATTCTAAAAATAAAAATTTTTGCATATCAAAATTTAAAAGATATAGCGAAGGAGCTATTTGTTAATTATTCTATACTACCTGTATTTTCAAGCAAACTGTGTTAATTTTCGTTAAAAACTTTTTTTTTTAATTTAATAGACATAGAATTTTCCATCTATTGATAACCATTTTCTAATAATTTCTTAAATTTGACTTAATTTTTGCAGAAAATACAACTTTAGCTGAAAACAAATCGTCATATTTTGGCAGTTCATTGGAACAGCAGCAGGTTCAATTTTTATTTTATAAAATGTTTTATATTGTCTGTGTTCGCTATTCCTTATTATGCGCAGTTATGCATTTTGTTGCACACTGATAAATAAGATAGGAATTTCTAATCGGAATAGTGCATAGTACAACCAAAAAAAAAATTAAATCAGCTAAAAGTATTCCATTCTACAGTTTGTCATAAAATATTTTATTCCAAAAGATTTCTTTTTTATGCTACAAATGATAGGAATGTAATTTTTTGAGCGAAAGCGGTAGTCTCTTCAATTTTTTCATAGCATAATTAATGCAAATTTTTGAAATATATTGGAAATGAATATTTTTTAGATATTTTATAAAAGTAGAATCTTTTTTTCGATAGATTCCTTTCCGCTTTTATCATTTATTATTGGAAAAAGCGATAGATGGCAAGTATAAATTTATAAAACCTATTAAAAATTTAGCTGACTGGACTTGTCTATTATCTTATAAAAAACAATTTATTTCATTTGAAGCTATGAATTTTATTAATTTTAGCGATATAATATAAATAGTTTCGCATAACTGTGCTATAAATAAATCCGAAAATTAATATTTCAGAACCAAAAAAAGGAATTAAACTTTAGTTTAGAAACATTAATTTTCTTACTTGTTTTTCATTTGTTCAACAGGATGATAAGAGAGTAAAGCTTATCATAATGATAAGAGATAAAGTTTGAAACCAAAGGCAAAAATAATCTCATTCATTTTTGTTTTTTTAATTATTTTGTAATGAAAAAAGCTAACATATTCAGAGCTCGTCATTGGCGATAAGTCCCCGATTAGTTAATGAAATAAGTAAATTGGACGAAATTTCTTATCAAAACTGTATCGAAAATAATTCACTTACTAGCTCAATAACACAACAAATAAGGTAAAATTATGGATCATTTTATTACATCAAAATTTACCTTTTTCGGATTTCTGGGTATTAAACCTTTTAAAATCTCTGATCTTGGATTTTTTAACCATGGACCATTCTTTGCCGCACTGATGAGAGCATTTCGCTAGAGCGTTATAAAGGTATGGGTGAGCCCTCAACAGTATTTGAACTTAACTTTTAATGATGGATTAACTTTTGTCAAGCTTAGAACCTATTCTATTTGACCTGAGTGTACCTAATTTTTCAGTATTTTATATTAGAATATTAGGATTAAATATTCGGGTTCTTATTTACGCCAAGCATTTGCAAACACTTTTTATTATTTTTATTCAGCATTAATTTTTTTTTGTTAAATCTATAAGATTGATCCAAAGATTATTGCATTAACTTCATATTTTCACTTCATAAACGTTGCAAATTTCTTTAAAAATTCTAAAGAGAACAGATTGAAATGAGTGAAGCGTAGAAGTTTTTAATTTAAAAAATTATTAAAATCCTAAATTTTGAATCGCTTATCGATAAATCATTTTGTCACTATTTTTTCTTTTAGATCCGAATGCTATGACAGTAAATTTAATTTAACCTACTTGTTGATTCATCTGTTTTAGTGGCTTTTAAAACTTTGAAAAGAGTGGTAAATTTGTGAATTTTCAGATCGTTTGGCAATGATTTGGACGAATTTTTCCCATACATTGATGCCACATCTCTATACAAATATTCGCCAAAAAATATATCAAGTTTTTTATGTGATTCTTTTTCGTCAAATAATGAGAAGAAAATCATATCACCTCTAACTGTTGAAAGTTTTATCAATTTTGATTCTCGCGAATCAAAAAATAATTTTGATCAGAAAAAATTTGATTATTCAAGTTTTTCTTGTGAATCACTGCGGTCGAAGACAAATCAAAATAGGTCGGTTATCTCTATTGTCTTATTTTTTTAATCCAATATGAAAATTCATATTTATATGAAAATTTATATGTGAATTTTTCCGAATAATTGAGCAATTAAGCTCTTCTGAATAGCAATTATTGGATTCTTTTGAATTTATTACTTTATTTTTGAAAACAGAAAAAAGGAAAAGCAAGCGATTCTTGAAGCTCTGCTAGCTCTGAAATCTTCAAGATAAGAGAATTCAAAGACTTTTCCAACATATTTTTTCCAAAAAAAATTTGAATATTTGCAAATTTTTGCAAAATTTCTATTTTTACTTCACCAAAATAGCAAAAGTATTATAGCACGATTTGACAAAAAAATATGATTTTATCATAAAACCGACAGAATTTAAAATTCACTCCATTTCTGTCATTTCTGACTGAATTAGCTTTTTTTTCAGCGATGCGAATATGACAACTTGCACCAGTTCGATAAAAAATAATGCGAAGCATAAAAACAACTTGAGCATAAATATTCTGAATAAAACATCGAAAAACTATACAAAAAGAAGGCGAATGAATCGAGAAAGAAAAGCGACTATCACATTAGCTATTGTTCTAGGTTTTATTTTTTTCCTTTTTTTCATAAATTGCAGGAAAAAAAATAAAATAAAAACCTCAAAATCGCTGAACACTTGAGAGTGCAAGTGGCCCTACTCTCTGCCTGGAAAGGCAGGTTTATTTTTATCGACAAACCTGTCTTGAAATTTACTTCGCATAATATCTCTCGAACCATACATGAAAGTAGCTGAACGACTTCTTTTATCGCTTGGTCTGCAGAACACCTATAGAATGCCATTTAAATTTTCTATTTACTTGAATCTTGATTGGTAGTCCTCGCTTTTAACCTATCACTTATACTATCACACCAATATTTAACGTATAATGGGACATGCACCAGTTCTTATGATAAGCAATGAAGGAAAGAAACTACTCCTATAATCGACTCTAAGACGATATACTCAATGAAGACAGAGTATTGAAGCTAAGATAGAATTATTTGAGATTCTGTCCGCCAGGCGAGATATATATTATAATTTAGGCATGAATTATCAATGATAATTATATCTTATATACTTAGTTATTTACTTATTTATTATTTATTACTTAGTTATTTATTTACTTCATTATAATTTACTCTTTACTTCCATCCGCCCACCTTTTAGCAGCATCTTATCTTCATAGAGACGAACTTCGTTATGATGCACATTTCACAGTGATTCTGCAAAAACCTTGTTAAGAGGTACGCATCTGTGGTCTCGACTACTCGAGCTAGAATTTTGCTTGACCCTTCGTATAAGACTATATTGAAAACACTTAAAGAAATAGCTGAGTTCATTACAAAGTAAAATATAACAAGTCGTTGCAGAAATTTGCATTCTTAAATAAATTTCACAGGACTGATCACTAATTTTTTAAATGATACAGCAAAATTGTGCTAGAATTACTTGGCAGTTCATTCCAAAAGAATGGATCCTCTGTTTTCATGAATGGTCGATTATTCTTATAATTTATTGCAAATTTGGAGAGAAATTTATGCTCAGAATATTTTAATTCATAACAAAATTATTCACTTCAGGTGCTTTCCTTGGTTGTTGGTTGCCTTTTTTCGTTTTGCATTTAAAGAATGCTGTATGTATTTTGGCAATGAATGAGAACTGTGTTGGATTTATCGCTTTTTTTCTAACAACGTGGTTAGGATAGTAAGTTTTGCAATCTATGAGTTTGTCTAATTATTTTAATATTCATCCATATAGACTTTTCAAGCGGTGAAGATCCATGTATTTGGCTAAATTCTTAAAATTTTCCTTAAATTACGTTTTGCCGAGTATGTGGCTTACAGCTACTAGAAAAATCCCTCTCATCTTTTCTCTTCATTTCACGCCAAATATATTCAGATCTTTGGATTATCTTTTGAAGATCATACTTGTTACTTTCAGTTTCAATTCCTCGTTAAACCCATTAATCTATACAATATTCGATCAAAGATTTCGAAACGCTTTTCGTCAGATCCTCTGTTGTTTTTCTGATCATTTTGTGTAAAATAATTTTATAGCCTTAAATTGCAAATATATATCGTTCATGTTAAGCAACATGTTAATGAACATACAAGAGGAGAATCTGGAAAAATCCATTACCATCTATGGGAACCGAATTTTTGAATTTTACTAAATTAATTTTTTCGCGAAATGCCCAATTGTAAAATAAATAGAATTATCAATATTCTCACAATTTTTTCTGGAGAAATTGCCTAACCAACAATCGCAAATGAAGCACATCAAATTCCCAAAGGAACCTTTTTGACTAATTACAGATCGATTCAACTTGATATAATATAATTTTATGCATAATTGAACAAATAGATAAAAACTTTACTTCCTAATTTTTGATTTTTATCATGCAAATTTTATGAAAAGATATGAAAAGATTTACAAAAAATTTATATTTATTTGTAAATGAAAATTTGGCTATAATTTTTGAAACGGTTTTAAAACAATTTGAAACCATAGATGCAAAAGTAATTCCGAAACTGGAGAAGCTTGGAAATTTTAAATTAGGGAACCAGGTGCTGGTACTTCTATATACGCCATCAAAACAAAATATGCCATCGTTAGCGGCTATTAAGCTGGTATTTCAGAAAGAATTTTACAGCACATAAATGGGATCCATCTATAGCATATTTTTTACCATTCACTATGCTGTTCAACATTAAACATTCAATTAGCCAAGAGAACTTTGTTATAAGAATTAAAATTGAAAATTGAAATTTAAGATCGAAACTGCGAGAAGGTCGAGAATAGAAGAAAAATATTAGCTGTCAATCAATTATTCCATAATATTTTTCAAAAATTCTTGAAGAATAGAACATTTTTGCAAACTCAGATCTATTTCATAGGTTCAAAGCCGCATTTGGTTAATTTATTTTCAACTGTCTTAAGGCCTCTAACTATTGGTGGCCATTTCTTTATTGGTTCTTTTACAAAAAATATCTTGTATGCATGAATGTATGAATGTATGAAATAAAATATTGAAGAGATACTAGAAGGAAATGATATGAAAGAAATTCTGCAAATTGTAGTACTGCCAATGACGTTTGCTATCTACTTTTTTCTTTCTTTTTCTAACAGTACTCCTCATTCCTCGTTTGGTCAGATCCAGTAATTTGAGTTCCATTAGTCATAAGCGCAATAGAATTGTATATGAGCCTCAGCCCGAATCCTATTTTCAACAACATCTTTGCTCCTCCAAGAGGCAACAGTAGAACTCAGAAGAATGTTTGGTTTCAAAGTAATATAGCACTTGACTCCCTCCACTCTCTACATTGGCAACTAAAGAAAGTAATAAATTCCATTTTCGCGAAATGAATAGTAAAATAATGAAGCAAATTTTTTTCCACCTAATAGTTCACGGATTTCCAAAAATTTCGTGGAATCTTAAATTAAAGTTGAAGCAATTCAGCAAAAGTTATTTAGCATTAATTAAATCTTAAAACAGCAGAAAAAAAATAGGTAAGACAATTAGAAATAAAAATTATAAAAATAAGATTTTAAAAAATATAATATTCAGAAAAGGCAAAGGCATTCAACGCGATTCGAAGAAATGTAGTGAGACAAATACTACAAATAATCTTTGTACGAAAATTAAATACTTCTCGCTCACCATTTCTAACTAGGCTAACCCCATTGATTGCTAGCAGTTTTCGCCAGGGAATCATAGCTTTAGAAATAAAGATAGGTCGCCAGCACCATTCAAGCTAAAATAATATTTTGAGGTAGAAACGATGCCCTTATCTCTCAAAACGATAATCTAAACCATAATTCATTCGGCATTCTCGCTCTCTTTGCGATAAAAATAAGAACGATGGAGAAGGTTAACTGAAACATGCCACTGATTCACTGTTTGCCGCTGAAAATAAGAAGCGCTCGATTATTCCTAACTTATTATGGTATATATGACAAAAATCGAATGACTCGGTGGGTTTGTTGCTCAATTTGGAGCGCCGATGCTGAGGTCTATGTAAATTAATAAAAATTGTTTATCAAACTCAATGTTTTCTCTGATATGCAGTGGCGTCAAAAAAGATTTTACTGAATTTTTTAAACGAATGCTTAAAATTGCTTTATAAATTTACATAGACAAATTTTTATTCATAGAAACTGTACTAAAATAAGATTTGTCAACAATAATTTCCTATAATTTTCTTTGAGAAAAAATAAAATTTTTTATTTTTTACTTTTTTTTGAATGAAGAAATCCATTTCGAATGCCTTCGGAAGTGAAATAAAATTTATTATTCACTTCATTTTTTTCACTTTTCCCTTCCGTTTTTTAAATTTTCATTTAGCGCAACTTTAAGCCTTATGGGATTTCAAAATAATATTTCAAAAATAAATTGTAAGATTACAAGAGTAATCTTAATAAGAACTATAGATGTAAGAATTTCTCCCAGCTGCAAGAAAAATTTAAAATAAAATTAACACCAATCTCCTTTGATATATTATCCTAGTGCTAATTCAAATAACAATCCTAATATACTGATTATAACAATATCGATTAATTTAAAATCGAATTTTTATTCATTAACTGAATGCTTTCTTCTTATTACCAATAATTTTATTATAATTAACTAATAATTTTGATAAACAAATGAAGCAGTGATAAGTTTATCACCATTTAGCGCCACTTTTAAATTTTGTTCAAAAATCACATGTTAATAGCAATATAGGTGAATCGTCAGCAGGCTATTTGAAAGAATGGTTTATGCTTCTTTCAAATACAGCATTGGCGCTTCGAAACGAGAGCAATTCATTAACCATTCATTAACAAAATCCATTAACCTTTTTAATAGATAAAAGAGCAATTTCAAGATTAGCTGTGAACCAAGGGCAGAAAAAACAAAAAAAAATTAAACTAAAGTTGTTATTACTGCATTGGTGATAGTGGTTTCATGAGGAACGATTTTTAGTTTTAAACGCATAAGAAAATCTTTCGATGCATCTTTTCGAATTTGATATATCAAAAAATGGGTAGAAAAGAAAGTTGTAAAATAAAAGACCACTAACAATATAATTATTGTTATAAAAAACAGCTGTGAAAAACGTATTACCTATATGTTTTTCTATAGGTTTATTTTCATTGAAAGTATAGAAGAATTGACAAAAATTGGGGTAAAATATTAAGTGGAAATAATATTCTATTCGCACTCTTGAAATTTCATTGACTTGTTGAATATCTCTAGCTGTGTGGAAAATTGTTTCAATATGCGATCGTTTTTTATCTGAAAATAGAATTTTGAAATGATCATATCACCTACAAAAAAATAAATTATGGGAAGAATAAAGGCGTTGCTGGAGAAGTTTTTTGTAATATCTATTTCTTCTTCCTTAAATTAAATTATACCTAACGTCCTGTGGTGTTATTAATCCAATCTCCATATAAAAATGCTACAAACTAAACGTATCACGTGTGCATCTAATTGAAAACATTAAAATAATTTTAAAAAGATATTTGTTTTTATGAAATATATATCAATAAATAAATACATATATATATCAATGATAGAAATTTAAAATTTATCATTTTATGAATAAATATGAATGATTTGGAAAATTTTTTATTGCAAAAAAAATAATGTAAAAGCGATCGCAATTATTTAATAAAATTTAAAGAGGCTAATTTCTTGGCAGAAATATGACCATTTAAAAGAAAATTTGAGCACCTACAAATATCAATGCAGAGAATTGGTCCGAAACTTTCTGAACTGAAATATTGGTTGCTAAAATTATTCATGATTTCCAAAAATAATTGATATTATACCCAACATAGTTACTCTAAGATCTTCTAATAATATCCATAGATTTTTTTTACAAAATTTGATTATTAATTTTGAAAGCTTCAAAAATGAGTGCTTTTTTGAAGTTTTTTAGTAAAAATTAATTTTTGAATATTACATTTATAAAGACGATTTTTTCCTTCATTTAAACAATTCGTTTGATCGAATTTTCATTTTTAATAAAAAAATCTTAGGAATTTTATCTTCAATAGAAAAATTAGTGGAAAAAGCTTCAAAATTGAGATAATAATGGAAAAATTCCGGCAAAATTTTTAATGAAGTATCGAATAGATTACCGTATCCAATTTTTCGATAAACTTAACTTCCACTTCAATATTTCATTGGTTAATTGTAAAAGAGGCGGAGTGGTAAGAAGATTGTTTGGATTTGAAATGATTTCCCTTGTGGTGAATAAGGCGAATATTGGAGACGTGGTAATGAAGTTGTGATCCCGAGGGGAGGGGTTCGTATTTCCTATATGAGCTCAACTTTTTTTACAGTAAAATGTTTGGTTTTCAAGATGCAAATCTGCTTAGACAGATGAAAGAAGAACCGCTTGGCCTTAGGGCACACTGGGCTACTACGGTTTTGGATACATCACCAGCCAGGTTTGCAAAATAAAACAAGAACTTTTTTATTTGTCTTCTTTTTACTAGGTCCCAAAATCCCTCAAAAGGGATTGCTTTTAAGCGCATATTCATTTTAATACCGATGTCATTTTCTATTCATCTATTTAACGTTTGATTAAACCGTGTCCTCTGAATCCATGCGGGACTCATATCTTTCAAAGCGAACTATTCCTCATTCATATTTTAAAATTTTTTTTCACCTTTTCTTCACTTCTAAAATTTTATTAACAAATTATCTAATCGTTTTAATTTTTCTTCACTTTACTTTCTAAATTATTCATGAATAATAATTTTAATAATTCTTGTCAATTAATATCAACTATATTCTGGACATTTAGAACAACTAATTTTATTATTCTCGTTGCCAACTGTGACGTATTTATCCTACAGCTGTCTTGTTCAATAAAACTAATACTTAGAATATCTTTTTTCATGTATAAATTTGAATATTTTAATAATTTCAGCTCACAGTTGGCAAGAGCACATTTCGAAAAACATCCACCGAATAATCTCCGTAAGAGTAACTTTTTCCACTTTGTTATTGCATTGTATGATCGCGCTGGTCAACCCGTTGAAATTGAACGAACTCAATTCACTGATTTTATTGAAAAAGAGCGCGAAGTAGATGGCCAGGATACTAGAAACGGCATACATTATAAATTGTGGTTATCCTTTGCGAACGGTAAGCGATTCTGAAAAATTTCTTTGTTGGTTTTTTACTGCGAAATATTTCGACCAGATCAATCCGAAATTTTTTAAAGGCATTCGTACCGAACAAGATTTATATGTCCGCCTAATCGATAGTGTATCTAAGCAGGTATTATTTAAATATCACTAATTATTAAATATTTCGGATATTTTTTATAGTTATGTTAGGAAAAAAATTAAAATGATCGCAGAAATTTAAAAATTCAGCAATAAAAACGAATTTCAAATTTTATCACATATGTCAACAGGTGGTTATGTAATTATTCACTCAGTATATAATTAATAAAAAATGCATATATCATATAATTTCTTAATTGAGCGAGTAATCTTTAGGTATTTAAGGGATTTAATGAATTTATATATAAATAGCAATTGTTTAAACTCCGTTTTTTTGTCGGAAGTCCATTATCTTATAAACCAAAATTTTATAAGAAATAGATTAATTAACTTATTTCGAAAATCTTTAAATAACATTATACTTCACTTGAATTGAAATTAATTTATGCAATATATAGAAGGGTTGAGGCTCAAATTAATAGTTAACAGAACAGAAGGCTAAGCGACATCTCATTAGCAATAAAAATATTTTATGACCTTAGGCAATTGCTTATGAAGGGCAAGACAAGAATCCAGAAATGTGCAGAGTATTATTAACGCACGAAGTCATGTGTAGGTGAGTTTTTTTAAAAATTTTACTTTCGATATTTTTTGCCAACGATACCTTTATATACCTTTACATATTTGGTTCAATGAATCCATGAACTGTTGAAATAAAAGTATTCAACCATACGAATATTAAACTGTAAAATCGTAATTACAGCTAATTTTTCATAATAATTAATAAATATATAATTTAAAATAATAAAAGATCAATTCAGCCGATGCTGTGAAAAGAAAAGTTGTGGTAATCGCAATGAAACTCCATCTGATCCAGTAATAATTGATCGGTTAGCTCGTTACCACTAAACATTTAATTATTTTGGCCCTTAGGGTCTTTTTCTATCAATCATTCGATCATTATCGTTAATTAACCTTCGTTATTATAAATGATGAAATAATATCGAAAATATACGAAGTTTTCGTATACAACAGAAGTAAAACGAGGAAAATTTTTCGAAGCAAAAAAACTTTCACCAAAGATTTAGATCGATAGAATGTTCACAATAAATTGGAAAATCCTCTTTATTGTTTAGTAAACATTAGGAGATTAATTCTAAGATAGAATTCAATTAAATGAATTGGCAGTGGAAATTTTTATGGCAGTCTTTTGTCTAAAAATGTGTTTGGCTAAAAGCAGCAGCTTTGCTTATTAATCTTTTCTTATAAGAAAGATGTATGGAACGATTTCGATAACCATTAACATTTTTTTCCAAGCGAATATGAACGAATATTCTTTAGTTTACTTGTTAGTAATTTATTATAAACAAAAATACATAAAATGGGCTGCATTGTCTTGGAAAATTGTTTCATTTTTCTTGACAGCGCATTTCTATTTTCATTATTTGTAGTTTAGTATTAATTACTATATTATGTATTACTAAAGTTGACAGCCTTAAAAGATTTCTATTTCAGATTCTTCTTAAAATTTTTCCTTAAATGCAATCAGAATTGCTTAAAAAATGCCGGCAATCCACGTGATATGCGAAGGTTCCAGGTTAACTAGTCAACCACTTTTTACTTTAATTTTTTATTATTTAGGTTTATTTATTTATTTTATATTATTTATTTAAGAAATTTACTACAAGAAAATGGAAATAAGTTGCTTTAACTGTTATTTTTTTATCAAAGGAAGGAAGGAATTATTTATGAAAATCCGCCTTTGCGAATTAATGTATATTTAATCAAAAGGATATGTGATGTTTATTGGCTTAGCACATAAGGCACAGTTAATCAAGTAGAGATTATCGAATTTCGTTTATACGGAGCACATAGCCAGTGAATGGAATCGGTTTAAGGCATAGTTAATCAAGTATAGCAAAATGATATGACAGTTCGGCATTTATTTCAATACTATGAGACGATTAAACAGGTGGTTTGTTAATTTCCAGTTCATAGCGTTCATTAGCTCTTTATTGTTCAAGAAATGTGACCTCACTTTCTTATTGATAGTCTAAGAAATAATAAGCAAATTAAAGTAAATATTGATATAAAATAGCCAAAAAAATATAAATATTGATTAATTATTTATAAAATCTAATATGTTTGCATAAATCACCTTTCATTTTGGACAAGAAATGGCTGCTGCAAAAAAAAAATTATCAAAAATATAGCACGAATTTTTTAGTTTTTTTTCAAATGAAAATGATTCGAAATAAAACACAAATAGAATAAATTAAATACAGATTTAAGTCAGTAACTGGCAATTGTTATAATGCAATTCGAAATAGTTTATTCTTATTATGGCCACTGTAAGGCAAAGATTCTTCCTTTGAGGTCCACAACCAGTCCATGAAGTTGGTTGAGAAAAAAATTCATACAAATTAAGAATGCAAGTTGCAATACCAACAGAAACCAAATATACTTCCTTTTCAGTTTCCATTGTGCATTGTCTAATCTATTTTTCCATTTATTCAAAGGCATTGATTAAAATATTCCGTTGAAATCAACGGAGTTCCAAAGTACTTTAAGTTTCAAAAAATTTGAAAAAAAGTGTGAATGAATGAAAATTAAGGGTAAAAATATTAAAACTATGTCATTATTTTAGTGTTAAGTAGTCTATCAAGTAATCAAGTATTTTATATCAAATAATTATTGATTCGAATGATTTCCATGACCATTTTTAGGTGGTTCTTGGTGTAACTGCTCGTGTTGATGGGCCGCTCCTAGCAATTTCTGATAATATGTTTGTCCATAATAATTCGAAACATGGAAGACGAATAAAACGCATCGATCCATCTGAAGGTTGAGAAATTTTATTTTATTAAAAATTTTGTACCAAACTATTTCTAGAATAATTAACCGTTTAGAAATTAGAAATGTTTAAATGTTTTCTTCCCATAGCGAATAAAATACCGTTTTGCGAGATGAATGGAATGTATGATCAGTGAATAAGTTTTGTATGGGAGAGATAATTAAGATAGTTCAATAACATAATTAAATAAATTGGTTAAAAGAGATCGATCTTGTAATATGGAGAATTTTCAAGAGAAATTAGATTAAAAGCTTAACAATAAATAATTACGCGACGTTCTCTTTCTATAGTCCACCTCGCTTCTTCTCCATCATCATCGTCCGTTTTTATTACTATAAATTACCCTAATCATTCTTATTTTAACTCAATTTGACAGATGTTATATTTTACAATTTAGTTATCGTTCAAAAATATTTTATAAATTTAAGGCCTGTCAAATATGCAAATTAAGTAATTCAGCATTTCAGTTTTATAAGATTATTGCAACAGATATTAGAAAAATATATAATGTGGAACGTCATAGAGTCTTTATCGAGCAAATTCATCGATATTCATCAGTTATATTGTTTATAATAGCCATATGTTACTTATATTTTTATAAAATTTCCAATTTTACAAGCATAGTTCAATTTTTTAATTCACCAAATTAGCAGTTTATTCGAACTTTTATAGCAACAATTACGATTCGAATAGCCTTATGTTGGATAAATTTTCATTGCCTAGTAAGCGGTGCTATTAATTCTTTAACAGATTAATGCATATGATCAGTTTCGTTATTATTTACGATTCTTTGCAAATTTTAGAATAAATTTGGTTTAATTTTACTTTTTAGTGCAAATTTTTTTTGGATAACTTTTAAAATCTAAAAATTAATGAAATTCAACCAAACAATATGAAAATTAAATTCTGTAATAAATTATATAATAGCAAAATTGCATTTTATTGCTTTATTATTGTAAAATTTTCTTTAATTATCGAAAAACTTTATATAGGAAACTAGCGAAAATATGAAATAAAACTCGCCAATTATTGATTTCCGTTATTTCTTCTTCACATTGAAATTCATCTAAGCACCATTTACCGTAGCCATCTAATTTATCATCGCATATATCTATCATATTATAACTAATATGATTGTTATCCAATTTTCATTCCATATTATACTAAAAAGGGAAAGAAGAAATAAAATTTTGTAATAAATTTTTTTATATTAGAAAACATTGCGAAAAAAAACATTTTATATTTTATAAGTAGTACTCGGAAATACGAAAGAAGTAAATCGTAAATCTGATAAGCAAATCTGATATTGATAAGCAATAAAATTAATAATAATAAAACATTAATACATATCAATGAATTGATAGAAGGAATACAAAAAAGTTTTTATATATCTCCTAAAATCTCATGGTGCATTCATCAACCGCAAATCGAAAATAAAGTTTTATCAATTAGCGATGGATGAAGTTTAAACTAAATTTTTGATAAGCGAATACGATCAAATTGGTTTTGAACAAAAATTTTTACCATTCAGCCATTTCTTATTTATGTAAAACATGTGCAGAAAATTTTTCTATTACTTATTGTTTAATTAAATTAATTAAATAATTAATTAATTTTTTTGAAGATATATCAGATTCATCCGACATAACATCAGCAACAAACCCGGTTATAAAGGCAATATGCCCCAGTGAAGGTTGGACGCAAGGCGGCACATCAGTTATTATCATTGGAGAAAATTTTTTTGAAGGACTACAAGTTTCGTTTGGGCCAACAACTGTTTGGAATGAAGTAGGTTTTAAAGCAATTAAAAACTCTTTTTTTTCCAACTAAGAAAGTGAATAGTGATCGTCTTTTAGTTGAAAAACGAATTTCAATTCACTGTTAGTTGAGGAAGTGCCAGGCTTTAAATCTTTCTCTTTCTCTTGGATCTAATGGATCTATTCTGATATTTAATGGTCAAGCAAAAGATGAATTACAACCCGGATAACGGTAGTTATGTGTTCTTTTGGTTAATGAAAATTTTGTGGAGCCATCGCGAGATCACCATAAAAACTAAAGTCCGTGTCTGTATAGATGGAATTCGTTCGACCTTGCTATATATCTCTAAGGCATGGCCGATGAAAGTGGGGGATATTAAAAAGGGAAAAAGGGAATTCGACTTTGAAAACTCATGTCTAAGATACAGGTTCATTGAGAAGAGAAAACATAATCTCATATAATCACGCATTTACCTTTGTTCAAATACCACTTGCATTAACAGCACTATCATAGAGCTTCGCCTTCGCTGGTAAGGGCTCATTTTTCTTTTCTTCACCGCTCATCACAAGATATTTTCTGAGCGCTGTGATGGATATTATCAAAAACGAGGAGATTAAATAAAATCAACACTTGGATACACCCAGGAAAGATCTTGAACATATAGGTGAACCAATGATATATGGACTTAAACGATGGAAAAAGGAATGGTTTCCATTAATGGCGATAGTAGTATCGGATCGAACAGCCTGATGCATTTTGTTTCTTGTAGCCAACGGAGCCAGCTCAATCTATAATGTTGAGAGCAGTTAGAAGAGGAAGAAATGAAGAAAAAATGGATTTCAAAATTATTATTTTTATCAACACATTTTTGCTAAAATCTTTTACAAAGTTCTTTTGGTTATACGCCGATATGATGGAAATTTTGTTTAAAAAAAGTCAGTCTTACGATTTTTTCTCCACATTGAATTCCTAAAAAATTTTAACGAATAATTCCCATAATAATAAATGTCGAAATATTATTTATTAGCAATTATCTGGTATAAATCATGGAAATTTTCAGTCAATTCAAGTAATAACACCACATGCAATGCGTGTTGCAACTCCTCCACGACATATGCCAGGAGTTGTCGAAGTTACATTAACATACAAATCGAAGCAGTTGAATCGAGGAAATCCTGGACGATTTGCTTACATATGTTCGTTCTATTCATTTTAACTTCGCAAAGAAAATTACGCCATAATTTTAGGAAGATTTTTGAAAAGATTATATTCCTTTTTTTTCTCACTATTATTACTACCATTTATTACTGCCTATTATTTTCCACAGATCATAATTATTGAACTGAAATAAGAGAATAAAATTCGACTCCGATTATCAGTTATACCCATATTATTAGAGTATTGCTCTTATTTTTTGCCTATTGCCGCTAATAAGTCAATTTTTTGCATTTCTGGCAGAACAATCGTTGTTGAAGCCTACACATCAGATATCAAAAGAATTCCAGAATTACCCATCATAAATTTTGTGAGTAAGAGGAATTATTTCCTTTTATTCAGCTACTGCAATGATAGCTGACCAAATATATAGTAGTTTTTATTGACATCACAGGTAAATAGCCAAACTAAATCAAAGTGGTTGAACCGTATACCTTATTTAAGCGTTATTCTAAGAATTTTTATTATTCAATATTAATAAAAGTTGGCGATAATTTAATCCAAAATATTACAGCGTTGTCAGAGCCAAGTATAGACTTCGGTTTTCAAAGACTTCAAAAACTCTTGCCAAAATATCCCGGTGATCCCGAGCGATTGCCTAAGGAACTCATTCTAAAAAGGGCTGCAGAACTTGCTGAAGCACTGTATAACAGGTAAATATTTATTGTTGCATCTAATTTTGAGTGATCAATTACTGATTCACTGAATGTGATTTGTCCTATAATATTATGCCATTCACTTGGTTATATTTTGGCTTTTTAAAAGGTTTTTCATAAATAAGTTTTGAGAAACTATATTTTTCTACTTATAAGTTTACAAAAGCCTTGGGCAAACAGTGGTAATGGTGGTAAGTCGAGTGGAAAGTAAGAATCTTTGAAAAAAAATTTGAAAAAAGGGCGATATTTAAGGAATGGAAATGCTAAAAATGAAGGAAAGGAAAAAATTTTTTAAAAATATCCAAAAATCAAATAAGCGATATTCATAAAAATTTTTCAAATTTTAATAAATGCTTATTAAAAAAAGGAAACAAATGAATTAATTTTTTAATTAAATCGATTCAAAATAAATTTCAGTGATATTTCAAAAAGATTTTGTGAATAATTTTCGACAAAATCGCGAGATTTTCTAAATGCACTCAAAAAAATTTTCACAATTATTTTTCAGCTACTTACTGGACTAACTGAATTTATTTTTTTAAAAAAATCATTTTTGTTTTTATTCATTTATTTTTTATTTTTCATTTATTTATTTAGCTGACTCCGCTCGTTATAGCTGTGGCATGTCAAATCTTACATTTTTATTGAACATAATTCTAATTCATTTACAGTTATCTTATGATTCGCTTCAATAAAAAATAGTACCACTGAATGAATTTTTAGTCAACAATTTGCATTACCTCCGCCACGAACGCCAGCCGATCATTTATCACATTATGCATCAGCTTATTCAGCACAGTTTGATACGAATGCTGGTTAGTACCTACTCAATAAATAATTTGACTACAATTACTAACTAGAATAGATGGGTTTTATTAAGGAACCTATTCCTCTGTTAGTGCGTCGCCTGGAGCATAATATCTCAATGGCCCATCGAGTTGCTTCTAGTGTGTCTATGGCCGACCTGAAAAACCACGGCCACGGTATCTATTTCCTCCAAAACCTGCTAAAATTTGTGAAAATCCTTATATTAAATAATCTCTTAACGTTTTCTGCAATCTCGTTGGAGTTGTTCCAAGACTTTGGTAACATATACTTTGAACACCATATTTCGCTGCATTTTTCTAACAATCTTCTCAGAACCTGTTTTTTATCGCCTTAATCTTTTCAAAGTCTTGGAAGTCTTGAAGTCCCTCTTATCATAATATTTTGTACATTAAATCCCACTACATTCGTTTACTCCGCCAGTAAATATCTTAAATGTCTCATACTATTATAACTCACGTAAATACCATTATGGCCTCAGAATCTCCTCAGATGCCAACAGTTCTCCATATAATCAAAACGCCTTTAATCCTTTTTAAAGCTTCACCTATTCTAACTCCAGAATTTCATCAAAATACAGCAATAAAACTTCCTTAATAAATTAAAGATCTTACTATGCTCCTTATATTGCCAAAGTACCATTTTGTTATAAATCACAAATAACCCTAAAAACCTCTTGTACTGCCTGAAAACCTTTCGACTCCATATTCTATTAGCAAATTCTTTAAATTTTTCTCTAAACCTCATTATCCCACCGCTTTCTTTTATTATCCATTTCTTTATTATGCTTCTGCTGATTATTGGTAGAAGTAATGGTAGAGGTAGGAGTATGCGAAACCACTTCATAATTCCTTATTGTCGCCACTTCCTCTCCACTAATAATCTTTCAAACCCTGCAGCAATCGCAGTAATTTCATAGTAATATTCCTTTAGATTTCATGCGGTTATTTATAGCACTTTCTCCTGTTTTTCTCACATAGAAGTAATTCGTAGTTAATTGAAAAGAAATAAAACCACGGCCTTTAACTGGAAAATGTCACCCCCATCATAATACCCTTCATTATGCACAAAACTTACGGAATCTTGTGAAACTTCTTTAGGTACCTGCTGAACATGCTCCATACTTTAAAGAAATCCCACTTTATTTTATTTGCCATTATCCATTAATAAAGGCCATTCCATTTTAATGCCATATTAAGTACTACTTTTTGTATCACATTTTTGCAAACGTAAATTTATGAAAATGAAAAGTAAATTTTTACTTAAAAAAATTGCAGATTACACACGATCACATACATCACCTCGAGCATTATCAACATATGGAAGTGGTACCACTCCACACTCTTTATCTTCAGCAGTTTATCAAGGAACCTATTCCTCTGTTAGTGCGTCGCCTGCAGCACAATTTCTCAATGGCCCATCGAGTTAATCTTTAAAGTTCATTTGTAGGCTGAGCAAAGGATGCAGAACGAACAACCGTTTAGGCATTTGTTTGCATTTTAGTGTAACCAAAATTTGTAACCAACTAATTGGTTATCTATTTTATTTTCTGCCAGAAAAATATTTTTGATTTTGAATGACCCCAGTGATTCAGTTATTAACTAGAATAGATGGGTTTTAGATGACGCTTTTGCCAGAGAAATATCGGTATTGACTATTCATAAAGTCGGATCTCACTTTTAATAACGGGTAATTATGTCAGATACAAATAAAAATTAGGTAACTGAAGCCACTGAGTTGCTTTTTCTGAGTTTATTTATAAAACTTGCCTTAATACTTATCGAGTATTTTTGTTTTTCTTATTTAAGAATCTCATAAGCATGATTACAATGCTGAACTTAATTTGAACTTAAATTTTATTTTGGTAATTGAAGAGCCATTTTAAAGTCGTATAGTTCTCTTAAGTTCCAGGCTTTGCCCCATTCGGCGCGGTTAATCCATTTACTGCATCATTACAATCGACAACGAGGCTGACCTGATAAAATTATTTCGAAAAGGAGAATGTTTCCGGGTTTAATTTCTAAAAATTGGTCATCAACTAATTTAATAAATGAATTAAACTTCATCTTATTTATTTTTCTTCGATGTTAACGATTTATTATGAAATATTTACTCCTAAAACAGTAGCATAGAAGAGACTTCATTTTTTCTTTAGCGTAGAGAGATTTTCGTAGATTAAACTGTAGGCTATCATGATTATGATAATCTAAAAAAATATCTAATGGGCCTTTTATGCATTTATTATTATTCGTCTCAAATAAACAACAGAAAATTTTTTATGCTATTATCTTGTCCAATTTTTCGATTTTTTAATTTATTGTTTAATAAAGAGATCTTGTTTATAGAGATGTTGAAAATAGAATATAGGCTTACTTATTCCATTATAGTATGTTTGCAAAAATCGAGAAAAAATTTGAGTGGTTTATTTTAAGACCGAAAGGATCAAATAGAGCTAAGAAAAAAAAGTTTTTTGATTATCAGCCAGCAACTTTAAACTTATAATTTGTTTTCTTTTGAAAATTATTTTCTTCTTTCGCTACTTTTTATGAAAATAGCTTTATTTAGATGTTTCTAGCGTAAAAATACCTGAAATATGCGCCATAAACTACCACTTATTATGTAAAGTTGAATATCGTTTGGCTCATACAGCTATTAATTTATTTTAAGAAAATATTGGAATTTTTTATGATTGCTCCGGTGATATATTTCTTGATCTCGTGAATGATTTTATGTTCTTATATGATTTTCTTATTAATAGATGTATATAACTGTGCTCACTTGATAAAAATTTGCCCTTTTGCGTTACGTCAATTGTTCTTCTAATTGACTATAAAGCTTGGTTTTACTGACTATACTACTGATTAATGAGGCTTCTTCTCTAGAAAGCCAGTTCGAAATTGATATACAGGTCGGATCAAGCACCTATTCGAATTTTAGTAATAATAGAATATATCAGTTCTCATTAAGGAAAAAAGAAAAAGATGTACTGCTTTTAATGAATTGTAACAGCGGTTATATATATATACAAACATTTCTTTTGTCAAATTCTTTTGTAAATGAAAAAAATAGTTGATAAAAAAAATAGTGCAGAAAATTTGTGCATCCATTAATAATAAATAGACAGTAGAAAATAGATAATTAGCTCGAATGCATCGCTTTCTTGGAAAAATAATTTTATATCAGTCGGAATATTGTCTTTTATCGTTTTAGTACTCGTTTAGAATTATCGCTGGATAAAATTAATTTTTTAAAAGCTATTTTCGAACGACGTTGCAATACAATGTATGTTCGACAATAATTTCACACTTCTTGCAATTCTTACAAAATAATTTTGCTTAATTTGCTGAATTTTAGGAATTGCTGATTATTGAAAGGCTATGAATAAAGTACACCATAGTTGGTTAAATAAAACTAATTAACCTTTAACTTTCTAATTGACAATTTATATTAATTAAGCAATATAATTTCAATATAACAATATAATTACAATATAAGCAATATAATATATTAAAAAAAAGCTTTACCAACGAATGATGAATTGTGTACGTTATTCATTGGAGCCGTTAAAATCAATATAAAATTCAAAAAAAAGATGAGATTATTGATAAGATTAACGATATCGTCGTGATCGCCTTATCTGATTTATCACTACATTAGCGATTATGTCAATAAGGCCATTTTTAAAATACGATCTTCAAATCATTTCTTTTCCATTTTTTGGGTTATTTACAATTTCCTTCGGAAAATTCAACTAAACTCTATTTTTTTATTTGATTTTATTTTAATACTGATTTTATTTAAAGTAATTACCGCCTTTCTTATTTAATCTTTTGCTAAAATGTCAATTAACCACAAAACTTTTCAAATCATGCGACATTAATCAAAGGAAAAAATTTTGTGAGAATCATTTTTCGCTGAAAGTTTGTTTTGATTCACTGGAATTTTACAAGTTTTGATTTTGATAATTTGAAAATGCTTTAATATTGAATTTTGTAGTTTAAATTCTGGAAATTAAGTAAAAATTTGAAAAATTTGGGAAATTTAAATTGAAAAAAAGAGAAAATTAGCAAAGAGAAATTTTCTTCAAATTTTTCATTCATTTATTCATAGAGCAAAGCAGTTATTTATAAAGAGAGTGGGTTGTTGCTCAACTTGGAGCGCCGAGGTTCTATTCCTCGCAGGAGTAAATCTGTCCAAAAATGTGGGTGATGCTGGTGATTCACTTCTATTGCCAAGGGACTCCCTGGCATATTTGAATATAAGAAGTTTAACCAGCTATGGTGAGCACTTTTAAAAAAAAAATCGAAGTAGCACTGAATAATTCTGTTAAAATTTATGGGAAAAAAATTTTCGAAAAAAAAAGTTTTAAAATTATTGCATATGTCTTCACTTCAGCTGATCAGCTGATAAAATTAAATTGTGATAGATTCATTTTTATTGATTTACAAATTATTAAAGGACCGTTCAAAAATAAATTCATTTATATTAATTCTATTTTTTAAGCGGTTATCAATAAATTATTTAGCGAACAATATATCTTTCATTCCAAGGAAACTGAAAACAATCTTTTATTTTTATTCTATTTTATTTTAAAAAATTCTTTTCATTTTTTTGATTTTCCATTGCTCATTTGTTGAAAGAAAAAAATTATTGAGAATTAATCACATTATGTAGCAAAATTTTTTTAAAAAAAATTGCGCTATCCTTTATAAAATGTTCAATCCTGAGTCCAGCTAGGATCACCTTGCCATAAGGCTATTTAGCATAAAAACAGCAAAATTTTCTTCACATAAAAAATTTATTCAATTGATCGGAATTAATTCTAATTGAAGCTTTTATCGAAAATTATAAAATTATAAAAAATCACATTTATAACCATAAAAGGTGAGACAATTAGTGTAATAAGCAATGATCAACGATCTATTCGATGACATTTTAATGCTGAACCGCATTAAAATGTTATGTATATAAATTCAATAAAATTCGATGTTTTGCGATTTTCATCATTAATTTTCAATCTTTTAATTCTATTTTCTTCCATTTTTTTTCGCCATTTTTGGTTATTCTTGCTCCACTATCTTGTCAGATTAATTGTGTCAGCGAATCGTTTAGTGATAGGAGTTTGCTGCTTACCAGTATAGAGCGATTTTTTGGAGGAAATATAATAGAATGCCAGAATTGGCGATCCAAAAATGAGAAGAAAAGTCCACTTCTATTCAATCTCGTCTTTTAATTAATTCATTTGAAATTTTTTAGATTCAAAATTAGATAAAAAAATCCAAAGCTAGAGAAAAATTATTGGCCCATTACTTTTTTGTAAGAGTAAGGAAAAAAGAAACTCTCATTCAGCTAAGTTGATTTTTACAACGCACGTCAGTGATATAAAATGATCGCTATATATCAGTAAAAATGGCAGATTATGCAACTAAATTTGCGGCCGATCTTGAGATTCTTTCATAATGGTTTGCTCATATATAATTTTTAAGTCAAATTTTTTAATTATATGCTATTGATTATAATTAGAATATAATTTTCAAAATTTGCTGTATCGAAATGGATTTCAAATTTATACTTGAAATTTACTTGCAGAAATAGCAGATGTGTGAAATAAATTGCAGCAGCTTCACTGATTTCAAAAATGCAACTGATGAAAGAATGAATGATTTCGTAGACAACGATTTGAGTCACTGCGTGAGTTTTGATGGGTTTTGAATTTTTAAAGAATAACTTTAAATAAAATCCAAAATTTAGTCTTTATGCCTCAAATATTCTATTTTAAGATATTCTTAAAAGCATTTTCGGAAATCTAACTTAGCAATTTTTTCTTTTTTGAGCTTCAAAGCTAGCTTGCTCTTCTGAATTATAGGATTACAGGGAGAAAACAATGGAAATTTCGAAGAATCTGAGAAATGGAGCCACTGTAAGGTTTCACAGCATGCTGCAAAAACCGTAAATTCAATTCGTCGCATTAGCGAATTTGCAACAGTGACTCCCAATCCTCATAAAGCTCCAATTATGCTACATCTAGGTGATCCTACATTGAACATCGCTTTTCGCAAATGTCAGGTGGTACTTGATGCTGTCGAGAAAGCATTAAAGAGTCGCGCTTATGAAGGTTATGCACCATCAATTGGTCATTTAGAAGCTAGAGATGCCATAGCCAAACATTTTACTCATCCTGATGCACCCATTACCGCTGAAGACGTCATTCTTACAAGTGGTTGTTCACATGCTTTACAAATTGTGATAGAATCATTGGCTAATTCAGGCGATAATATTCTTATTCCATCACCTGGCTTTCCTCTGTATTCGACAATGATGCAGCCACATCTTATAGAAGTAAATTTTAAAATAAATCTGTGAAATACAAAACATTTTATTTATTGTTATGAAAATACGAGGTATCTTAAATTTAGGTAGATTTTGATTCTCCTTGATTAAGGCAAATTTAATAGCTTCGAGATTAAAGTAATGTTATTAAAATCGAACATTTTTAAAAGATATGAATCATAAAGCAAAAGAAAAACTTTTTAGGATCGACTTTATCCTTTGATTATGGAAGAAAATGACGTCCATATAGATTTATCTAAACTTGAACAACTAATTGATCATCGCACAAGGGCAATTATTGTCAACAATCCATCGAATCCAGTCGGTTCAGCATATCCAAAGAGTCATTTAGAAGATATACTGAAAATAGCTTATCGAAAACGGCTGCCTATTATCGCTGATGAGATTTATGGTAATATGGTTTACAATGGTTCGAAATTTATTCCTATAGCAACTCTTAAGCCACAGGTGCCTATAATATGTTGTGATGGATTGTCTAAAAGATATATGGTGCCAGGTTGGCGAATTGGGTGGATCATTATTCATAATCGTTATGGCGCTCTGGATGAAATTTATAATGGAATGATCAATTTAACTCAAAAAATCGTTGGACCTTGTTGTTTAATTCAAGGTGCTTTGCCTACAATTCTCAATGAATTTCCTGACGATTATCTCAATGAAATAAATAAAATTTTGTCAAAAAATGCCGAGGTAATCTTTTATCACATAAATCGAATAAAAGGACTTACAGTAATAAAACCAAGTGGTGCAATGTATATTATGATTAAAATTGATTTAGACTATTTTAAAACAACTGAAGCGAAATTCATAAAAGGACTCATATCTGAAGAAAATTTATACTGTTTGCCAGGCGAAATATTTAATGCACCACCTGGTTATTTTCGAATTGTTCTTACTCAGCCAAAAAATATTCTATATGAAGCTTGTCAACGTATCAAGAATTTTTGCTTAAAATTGAGAGATTCTAATAAATAAACAATAATATTTGTAAAATTTTATTAGAAATAAATAATTCACGCTGTCTTCTTATATATTCAGATATATTCAAATTAGTCAATGTATCTTAGAATGCTTCTAATTTCAAAAATAATATTTCTTCAAACAATTCGTAAAAATCAATAAAAGTGTAAAACTATGGAACTTAAATTATTTAATACACAAGTAAAAAATGAATCAAAATATCTGCAAATGCCATATCTTAAATTTTGTTTAATTGGTAAAAAAATTATGTAAGTTAACTTTTCATCTATTTATTTATTTGTTTATTTATTGAAAACCAGCCAAGCTACATCGTTCGATAAATTATTCCAGTAATTAATAGTACGAATAAAGAAATCATGAGTCCTTAGTTTAGTTTTGCACATAGGTTTTAGTAATTTTAGCCCAATAGTTGTTGTTGGATTCAAATTTAGCCTATAATTATAATATTTTGAATAATCTGGTTGAACATAACCACACAGAACCTTATAAGTATAAATTAAATCTTGTTTAATACGAAATAGAATCCAGGTTATATTTCAGGAGTTCTCTTTCATAATTAAGATTGGAATTAGGAGAGAGGTGTGGTATAAAATATTTTTGAAGTTTTCAATTATTTACTTGATTTACGACATCTCGGAAAGTAACATGTAGTACTGTAGTCGAGAAGTGAACGAACGCTTTGTACATTTTGATAAGAAAAGAGTTTTGTTCTTAATCGAACGAAAAATAAAATTTAGTATCATTGAGGATTTCTTTACTATGGTTCTGCAGTGAAGGTCGAAATCGAGATTTTCATCCAAATCCAAAATTATTCCAAGATCAGAAATAATGAGACTCTATTGATTATATTATCATTAATAAAAATATTATGAAAATCGAAACTTTTAGAATTAATATGAAAAACGCTACATTTATGAAAGGAAAGGGTAATTTGCCTATCATATAGCCAGTTGGTTATTCTGTTGAGGTCCTCCTGCAGTGGAGACAGGCTATCTGTTCTACTGTGAGAATAATAAATTTTACAATGATCAGCATAAAGATAAATAGTGGAATTTAGTACCACATTAATGATGTCATTTATATAAAATAGAAAAAGCAATGGCACAATACAACTACCTTGTAGAACACCAGATTTAACAAGTTTTGTGTCAGAAAGAATGTTACGAGTACGACTTGGTGACGACGGTCTTTTATGTAATCTGACACCCAGTTATAAAGGGCCCTGTAATGCCATAAACATTAAGAGTAATCAATAATTTGCTATGGGAAACAATATCAAAAGCTTTATTTACATAACTGATACTGTTTTTTCATTGTCAATTAATGCTGACCAATCGGAAAGATTTGCCAATATTTGTGAAGAAGTAAATTTTTTATGCAAAAGCCATGCTGATAAGAGGATATAAAATCATTCATATCAAGATAGGTAAGCAATTTCTTGTTTAACCTTTCGGAAACCTTTCCACCAACGCAAGCTAGGCTAATAGGTCGATAATTAGAAAGGTTATAGGCGCTTCCTTTTTTATCAATGGGGATCAATGGGAGACAATTTCCAAATTTTGGGATTAAGGCCAGATTTTATAATGTCCTTATAAATTAAAAATAGAGGAAGAAACTGCACATTTTTTATAAATTATTTGTGGAATATCATCGGAACTGAAATGGGCAGCTTAAGTCTATTTAAGGCAAAATAAACATCAAGTAGTGAAGTGAAAATAGAAAAGTGTAATAAATCCGATTTACTTTAAAACAATAACTATGAATATTATCTTCAATAAATACATTAGAAAAATATTGATTAAATACATTTGCAATATCTATATCAGAGGTGATCACATTATTATTATATTAGGATTAACTGTTTACGTGGATTTGCAAATTTTCTATTGATGTAGGGCCAGAAAGAATTTCATGGAAAGCCTTCGCTAGAAATTTTAAACTTTAACTACTTATCACTGACCACAAAGCCAGGGTTTATGAGATCAGAAAAAACACTTATGCGAAGAATTAATCCGAAAAAATTTTCAACGTGGCCTTGCTATTGCAAATAACGAATAAAACATATATAGAAAATAAATTCCTCAAATAATTGCTGTGAATCAGCTTACTAATTTCAATTTCCTACAATAATTTTTTCATACGTTTTTTTTATTTTTTTATTATATTCTTTATTTAGCATTCCATTTTCCTTTTTTTGCATATCTGATTCAGCATGTGAAATTCTCTTATCATATAAAGAATCTCATATCTATTAAGACTATAATCAGACAACTATAGTTTTTGTCTACATATTTGTTAAATATTCGTTGCATGCCATTCCCATTTAAATGTTTTTTTGCAAGCCAAAACACTATATATATCATGTAAAATAGGCTCATTTTGAAGTTGAAATTGAATCTGCTTTATTTCTTCATTAGTTCCTTTCAATAATTCGCAATTTTAACTTTTTTCTCATTTTATGTCGAACATTTATTATTTATAGTTTGTGTAATAAAAATTAAAAAAATGAGTTTACTAATCTTATCTTGCCTGGGTACGACGACAAATCATTGGATCTTGAACTTAAGAACCACGTCCTTCCCGAGTTAACCTTCATCAGTCCAACCTCTTGTACTAAATCATCGCCAGTTCATTCTCCCTCAAATTATTTCTCCACAAAATTTGCATTGTTTACCGCTCCTTCCAACTCGATTTTCGCAAACTCCAGATTTATAATTCTAATTTACTATAATTATTATACATTTTTGTAATTGTACTATGCTCGAATAAAATTGAATGATAAAGATTTATAAAAAAAACTACTAAATTCGTTTGAAAAGTTTTATAAAATGAACCGCATTTTGATTGATGAGCAACACTTTCTATCGATCTATGTTAAACTGTGATAATATATTTACAAATTACATATTTTTTAAAATTATAATCTATGAAAAATTTAATTTTTAGAGTTTAATTTTTAGTTTTTCTTTCTAAATAACCTAAAATAGTTTTTTGTAATTTTTTAAATTTTCTATGAAATTTTTAAATTAAATAATAATAATTGTCAATAATTATTAACAAATAATAAATAACAATAATAATGGATGTTTAAAATTTTAGAATTTTGATTTTTAAATTTCGAAATAACCCCAAAATAAAGTCGATATATTGCAACACAAAAATTCGTTATTTTCATTATTATTTTTCGGTATAATTTTATTCAAAAGCAGTTTTACTTGATTCTTTGATTCATCGATTAACAACGTTGTCATTAAAAGTGAAATTTTTGTGTTTTGTCTGTTTTAGTTGAAATAAATAATGCTAAAAAATTGCCGTAAATAAGTTTGATCAAAGCACTAATTTTGTTTAAAAATTTAAGCGATTATTTATTCGATTTCGCTGAAAATCTAAAAAAAACTCATTGAATTTATAGATAAATGGTTTCTTTTGATTCTTCGTCATTTTGCTCAGCGGCAGTCGTTATTGTAGCTTCGAAAACATAGTAACCATCATTTTTTTCATTATTCGTACTTATAGGTGTATCGAATCGACGAGTCGATTTTGATAGAACTGCACTATTGGGAAAATCGCTCGGCGATTTTTTCTTTATCCAGCTGAAACAAGTCATAATAATCTATTGTGAACTTGAATTTTCAAAATTCTTTCCATGAAACTAATTTTAAAAAATCTACAAAAATACGAATAAACTGATCGATATCCATCAAGCGAAAATAATAGATTCTCTTGGATTTTTTTGCATTTTTTTTCAAATTTATTAAACTTAACAGAATAAAAATAAATAAAAAGTTGCATGAATGAATTTTTACTTTAGTAACAGTGGTAAGGGAGGCAGGATGGCTTGGTGGGTTGTTGCTCAATTTATTATTCATAAGACCGATACTAAGGTTTTATTCCCCGCAGAAGTAAACCAGACCAAAAATCCGGGTGATGCTGGCGACTCACCTGTACTTCTATCGCCAAAGGACTCCCTGGTATATTGCCCAATTCGACAAGCCAAGTGGAGCGAGTTTAACCAGTAATGGTGAAAACTCTTAAAAAAAAAATAAAAAAGATAATGGATAATGGTACAGTATTCATTTATTAAGATTGGCGAATTTTTTATGAACCTATCGATCAAAAAAAGGCGGAAATAGTTGGAAAATTAATGAAATTAAAAATAAAATAATAAGTCAAAATAAAATAATAATAAAAAATAATAAAATAATAAAGTAATAAATAATAAAAATAAAAAGTTCGACAAATAACCAACAAACAATAATTTACCTGCAAAATATATTACTAAAAGTACGCCGGAAGCTGCTTGACATAAAACAGTAAATTCCAAAATTTACTGGATAAGTTGCCTAAATTTAGATTATGGATTTATAAATTTAGATTATAAATTTAGATTATAGGCTATATTTGAACAGTGAATTTAAAGAAACCATATTGGAAGAATGGGAAATGCAGCTCATCTATGGTTCTGTTGGAAGATTTGAAATTTTTTTTAGAAATTCGATTGAAACATTCTTATTAATTTTTAGCTAATATTTTTAGCATTTAAAAGCCATCTTGTTATATTTAAAACTTAAGATTACATTATAATATTATAGTATATTAGAGATTAAACGATAAAAAAACCTGACCATTACAAGCATATTATTCGCAAGCAAAAATGCAGCTGGAAAAATGCCTTCAAAAAGTTTCATAGATACGCCAAATGTAGTACAAACACAGAGAAGGCCAATAAAAATTGCCTGAGGCAAATTTACAATCAAAAAAATACTGACGATAACGACTAGCATTAAACTTGTTGAACTACCATCGATTTGGCTCTGAGCTTCCCTGGCTCGTTTTTCTCTAAAAATTAATAATTTCAACTTAATCGATAAACAGCTTAAATAAAATTTAAAAAAAGCAAATTTGCAGCGATGTCGCTTTTTAGCCTTTTTTCGCGTCATTTTTGTCCCTACTAGTTTCACACATAATCAGCACACCACTCTTTCTACCAAAAGTCTCAATCCCTAACTGCGTCAGATAGATTTGATTTCCTCATAAGTCTTCTAATTTCTTTTCTAAATTTTATCTTTTAACAGTTATAAAAAGAAAGGAATATTCATGGAATGTGCTATATAAAGAATAGAATTTCTCAAAAATAGTTGTGTCTTTTATTTGTGCAGATTCTCCAACTTTCGAAAAAGTGGCATATTGGATTTTGAACTTAAATGGAATGCATAAATTATGCATAAAAATAAATTTCGAAAGCCGTCATAAAAAATATGTGATAAGACGATAATTAGATGTCTTTTATGATAACAGATCGATAATTGATAATAAATTAATGATAATAAATTAATAAATAATAATTTTTTAATGATGAAGCAAGAATGAAGTTTTAAACTAACCTAAGCAATCTTTGTTTTCTTTTTTGTGCCTTTCTTAAACCTCTTATTAATAAAAAATTTAAAATAATAAGCAGTAACGATGGAAGAATAATAAAACCCAAGACGCGAGTCCAAAAGTAAAAATTGAAAAAATTATTCGGTCCTATAAATCGAACCAAAGCTGTAAAATCATATAGACAACTCCTGAAATTAATTTCTATCCATAATTCTTTTAAAGAAAATCGTAATTTTCATGATAGATTTCATTCGAAGTGCAGAAGAACTTGCCTTATATACTTTAATTCACCGTGCGGGAAATATGCCCATCCTTCGTATACATCGTAATAATAATCTAATGATTTAGGTAAGCCACACAGTAATGAAACTATTGTAATAATTAATGTGGATACTCGCACATTGTGAACGCTGCACAGCTTTCGCGATAATATCGGATATTCCACGAATATATACCTTGAAACTTGAAAATCAGTTGCAACAAAAAATCTAGAAAAAACCATCCTTGGCATTATTGCGATGGTTGTTACTTAGCTAAGCTACTCGAATGCAATGGGAATTTTCAAAATTTTTTTTGACTTTAAGTCTACTTCTGGAAAAGAATTTTGAAAAATTTTTTGAACCCAGCAATAGCGCTTATCTTTTGTTATCTCTTCGAATTATTTGACGAAGATAACTAATTTCAGATTCGAATTGCAAAAATCGTCATCAATTACAAATTAATGAATTAAGAATGGATTAAAAATAGGCAGAACCAAATTTTTAACATTAAAACAAATTATTTAATTATGAAATTTAATTCGGGTGAATTAAATTACAAATATAGCTCTAAATTTTTTCAGATATTTCTGAGAGTATTTCATCTTTAAGCTTCGTTTTTTTTATTTGTATATCTCTTAAATTTCATATCCACTATTATAAAAGTATCATTAATATCATTATCACTGTTATCACTGTTCTTAAGTATTATACATGAAAATTGCTCAGACTTTGTTGTGATGCAAACTGCTTTTTTAAACTAGTTTTTGAAAAATGGGATAGAATGTTAGTCGACTAAAGTCAAACATTATTCTCCTTGTTAGAAATATAAGCCGTTTATAATAAAGTATAAAATATCCTGAATTTCATAACTGCCGTCATTAAAATCATTAGTGATCATCAATTTAAACTGCTGAATTTCAAAATATCTTTGTATCGCATTTGAAACATTCGAATATAAACGCATGAAACTTGATATAAGTGAAAAAAATTGTAAATTTTTTTAAAGTGTAAATTTTAATTAGGAATTTTCTCAGTTTTGATATACGATTGACCTCACATAAAATCGAATGAGTCAAATATGACGTAAGCGGCGATGAATTTAGGAGCTAACAAATTAACATTAAAAAAGCTAAATGCATATGACACTTGGATAAACTTAGCAAATGAGCATTATTTAATATATAAAAGTGTGAATAGATTGTTAAATGGCGGAATGCAACATGCAGCTTAGATCATTTGATGAGCATGATTTTTCAAAATTTAATGAGGCAATTGGATTTTATATAGGTGAATGGCGAATTGATCCACAATGCTTTGAAGCGTGTGGATAAGGATTATCCAAATTGATGAGTCGTTTATGCCGATAAAAAGATTCGCATTAGTGCTTGAATTTTTAAGAGCAAGCAAAATTAATTAGCTTAACTAGAAAGTATTGTTGGAAAACTTAAGTACTATGGAATTTTAGTATTTAATGTGTGCTAATAAAATTTTCAAAACCTTCTAATTCATCTTTTATGTACAAAAAATAGATTTCTTTTGGTGAATTGAAGAGTTATTACAGGATTTGCATATTTGCATATTGCACACAATTTCACAATTACAGTTTATTTTATAATATTTTCGTAATTTCAAAAAAATTAAACCACCATAAAACCCCCATTTTTTTAGCAATGCTTGGAATTTTGAAATTTATTCATATGTATATCAAAAAATTATAAGTAACAGTGCAAATAAGTTTTAGATAAAGCATATATGTAAACTGTGATCATATAATGCTGTACAATATATTTGTGCATAGCTATCACTTTATCATACCTGTAGGTTGTCTTGCATTGATATGCAGATGGGTTTTACGTAGAACTCCATTAGTGCCATTTACTAATTTATATAATATATGCTTTATAATTAACAGTAAAGTTCCAAAACATTTTAAAAAAACGTTTTCTGGATTTACTACTTTTGTAAACTACGAAATTTCCTATAAATAAGAACCGACATGCAAATATTAAAAGTATATTCACTTCATATATTGTGATTACAAATGCTATGAGATTATATGACAAATGATAAGCCTTGTTACAACAAAAAGTAGAATATATGAAGTTCCTAAAATGTTTTTAAAAGATCACTGAAAAGGCACCTGGAACAGCTCACTTAAATTGGACCCAAGCAAAGTAAAGTAAAGTAAGCAAAGTAAGCAAAGGTTTATTAATATCGTTAGAAATTATTTATTTAGTCGATATAAAAATTAAGAAATATTCGAAAAAATGAAACCTTTGACCAGCTAAAAGTACGGTTAACCACATTGCGATATTATGGCATACAGGTGGAACAGCATCCATACAATATTTATACATGTAACACCACCATAATTGCAGTTGATCCTCATACAAATTATATTTTAATGTATGATAAAAAAACGTCCATGGAAGAGGAACAAGTCCAACGCATAAATCAGCTATTGCCATATACTTTAGTACGACATTTGTGGGAGTTATCATATGTTTCTTAGATAAGACGATAACAATTAGTGCATTCGCAACCACAACAAATATTACCAGAATAGGAAATAACTAAAATTAAACTAATTTCCATTAAAAGAGAAAATAATTAATCTTCCTTTCTTTCTCGAACAAATAAATTTTTTCTGAGATTTCGCTATAAAATAATGAAATACCTTGAGAATAAAAAAATTTTCAAGTAGAAAATCAATTAGCTTTCTTTAAAATGTTTTTTTAAAATGGAACTTCCAAGATAAAAAATTAGGAATTGTCGAAAACGCTATCATTAAATTTTTAAGCAAAATTATTAAGTCTGCTTTTTGAAATTATAGCCTTTTTCTTTAGAAATTGAAATATTTTAAAAATTATTAATGAACCAAATTATAGCATCAATCTCATTTTGTCAGAAATTAAACTTTCTTAATTTTGAGGGATTCTTAATTTTTATGAGAAATATATATATAAATAAATATATTTTTAAATATTAAATATATATTAAATATATATATTTTAAATATATTTTTTTTTATACTTTTTAACCGCAAGGAACGAAAACGAATCTAAAAATCAATTCAAAGGACAGTTTTTGAACCAATGTGTCAATTATTTAAACAAAAGAAGAGACATTTTTCGAAACTTAGGTTAAAATTTTTTTAAAAAATTGCCCCGAATGAACCTCCATGCTTTTCAAACTGCTGTCAATTTTCATATTCCCTTGCAAACAGTTTTTTGACTTTAATAGATTATTTTCATACAAAAAAACTTAAAAAATACCTTAATTTGTAAAAAGAGAACGATGAAAAATAAAAATATAAAAATGTAAAAATTTACCAGTCCATAGACGGCATTCTCAAGTTGATTGTTGTGAAAAAGTGTTGTTAATCTCATATCAATATAGCACTGATCAGTGCAAACATCGTAAAAACTTCCGAAATTTTCGGTGAAACATCGCATTGCTTCATCTTCACTAAAGTTCGTTCTTCGACATTCCTCGTATTTCATCGCAACAATTTGAATTATTAATAAAGATAAAAAATTGTTAATAGATCAGCTATCATCGTATAAACTAACTGAAAAAATCATCCATCATAAACAAGCTTTGAATAAAATGATTGAACTTCTCGACATGATTAAAAAAGAAAATTATTAGTAAATGAATGATTTAATTCAATGAGAAGTATTTTGAAGGATATAATTATGGATTTACCGCTGTGATTTATATTATTAATTACCGCTACAATATTTAAATAAAAAATGGTATGTTACTTCGACTCATCGGCTCGTTCCTCTCGAAATGAAATCTGGGTGATGCTGAAAGCCCATTTTGACTCTCTGGAGAAATTTCGTTTAAATAGTCAGAGGAACTTATACACTAATACACGCAGAAGATTGATAAGATAATAATCAGAAGAGGAAATCAAGGAAATGCGCATAAGAAAGATTTCAACTAAGGAAATAAGTGAAATATTTTTCTTGAAAGTCGAAGGAATAAACATGTTACTTCACATGTCATTTGCTATATTCTATTGCACTTTCAGCAATATTTTCAAAGTGTCTAATTAATGTGCGTATAAATAATGAGAAACAATTATAAACAGAAGTTTATGCTTAAATTCAGATAAATTAACACCGCTGCGGTTTAAATTTCCGAAATAAAATTAGTGTAATGTTTATTTTTGTAAAATTTGAAAGAATTAATGATCAAGACACTTCGAATTTGGCTCGATCTTATTAATTATAATCTTTATTGGTAATCTCTATTCACTGATTAAGAACTGCAAAAATTTAACATTGATAATTAATTTAATGTAATCTAATAATGAATAATATGTTTATGAATTTATTCTTTTATCGGTTTTACGAATATGCAATAAATATTGCAACCAACTCTAAGTGAATCAAACCGCAAATGTAATTTCAAAATTTACTTTTAAAAGCGGTTTTTTAATCAATGACAAAATTCGCGCAAAGGCACTTAGTACAACTAAAAGTAATGAAAAGTAAATAGTAAAGTAAGTAGGCCAAAATTAAAAGTAAGCCAAAATTATTTTGTAGAACGCATTTTTATTAAAAAACCTCTTTTTTCCTCACAAAAGATCTTTTAATTCTGAAAAAAAAGAAATTCAAATTTAATATATTTCTTGTTAAAGCGCTAAAAAGAAAAGTTTTTGGAAAAGAAAAAACATGAGAACCATCTTACACATATAAGTAGCAAAAATAAATGGTAATTTGAGAGCTTTTTAAGTCGCGTTATAATTGCCTGAAGGGTTTCCTATTACATAAGATCTCGAGCACTATTATAATCGAATTTGCACTCTATATTTTTCTAAAAAAATGCCTGTCTGACTTGCTGTTTGATTCATCAGATAAAATTTCGTTTTATCAATTTATGGAAACACCAAGCATTATTCACATTAAATCAGCTCAGTTGTATATTCGTCTATTAAAATGAGTCAGCAGATGTCAAATAACTCTAAGTGGATCTAATCACAAATTTAATTTCAAAATATTTCTTTCAAAAGGGAATTTTTAACGAATGACGAAACTCATGCAAAGACACTTAGTTTAACGGAAAGTAAATGAAAAGCAATAAAAAGTAAATAATTATAAAAATAATAATATTTATTAAAAATATAGTCATTAAGCACGATTTCAATTGTAAGATTAAACAAAATTTATTTCACAGTCTACGAAAGAATTAATTAAGGATTTGTACTAATAATACAATTTTTACAATTTTTTCAAAGATAATAATGGCTTTTAAAATGAAATTACGAATATAATTACTTTACTTAAAGTCCGATAAATAAAGCCATTTTCAAGATTTTTTTGTTTGTGAAGGTTTCGCGAAAAGGGCGATACCACCCACAGTATGCGATGATTTCCAACAAACGATGCACATGATATGTTTAGATTTTGCTTAAAAAATAGCTATTTAGGTCATCGATTAGATAATTAGATAAGCATATAATTCGCTTATTTAAGATATTTTTTGTTAATTAAACTCTGAAAATAAATTAAAATAATTAAAATAAAATCCACCAAATGGAAATTAAAGCAATTTTTTCTATTTTTTTCTTTTTTATTTATTTTAAAAATTAATTGCGTAATTCTTTCAACTTTAAAATTTCAAGTTTTGAATTAATATTTTAGAGTTTTTGCAAAAATTTTCCTTGAGAAAAATCTTTTGATTAACGATCGCTCTTTTGCTACAAAATTGGAATGCGGAAGATTTTCTTTAGAATGATGGCAATAATAATAGGAAAAAACGGCAAATCGTGAGAAAACTTTTAATAGTTTGGATAAAAGCGATTTTTGAAATAAAATATTTATCAGTGAACGTTATTTGATCAGATAAATTTCCATTATTGAAGCATTTAAATGGAAAAAAAGAAATTGGTGGATAGGAAACTAAATGCAAAATAAGAAATGCACTTCAAAGAAGAATATAATTACTCAATCGACCATTTTTATTTTTTTTGACGAACTAATAATTGATCTGATTTTAATCAGTTTAAATTTAAAATTTATTGCAATAAAAACTAAAAATTTTGTTTTACCAAATAATGGAATAGCATAAGCATATTTAATATTAATTTTGCTGATATTTATTCTTCTTTTATATTCGAAGAATTCGATTAAAATTTTGAGAATATTTATTCGCTTGGTTATAATTCGTATTTAACTTCAATAAAAGTTAAACTTTTGAAAAATTCATAAGAATATTTTTAAAAAACGCCAACATCTTCTTTGTCACTTTTACCGATTATCGCTTTCCGATTTATCATACAGTAAGTTGGAATTTAGAAAATTTTTCGATTCTTTTTTCTCTTTTAACAAATGAGGTTATCAGTGTTTTGATTGGCAACTAATTCTGTACAATGATGCATTATTATCGAACAACCAAACAAATTTTTAATAGCAACAAATTCAATCTCAATTTTCTTCCAGTTTAATCTCCTCAATTGTGATTTTTAAAAAATCGATTCTATATGGATTGCCTAAGTGTATTAAAAACGAAATGCAAATTTTTGAAAAATGTCTGAAATTTTTCCAACGAGGTGCTTTGAAATTTGAAATTGGAACTTTCGATAAAATTTTGCAGCAATAGATCTCGAAATTGAAGAATATCTTTTCATGTTGCTTTTTTCTGCTTCTAACTGGAATACACATGATTTTTTATCAGATATTAATAATTTCAGCCTTAAAAGAAAAAAATAATTTACTTATGGAATGAAAAAACACGAGAAAACAAATAAAGTAATTAATGCTAATTAACCGAAAAACGTCGAAACCACTCGTAATAAATAGCTTTTTGTTTTTTTACTGAGGCGATAAGTAAAAAAATGCAAAATTGAATAGAATCACAACTCAAAAGTATACTATGTAACAATCAATGAGATTAATGACTTTTCTTGGCTTTTCTTGGCTCACCTTTTGAAAGTTGTTTAAATTGAATGGAATACTGAACACGAGAACCTACACAATATTATTAAAAAACAATATTAGATTTATCTCTCATCAATCAGTTCCTGTAAAAATCAGCGGCTTAATAAAATAACTTTATTTATGAAGTCAATAGTGGATAGGAATAAGTCAATAGATGCAAATATATGAAATATGGTTGCATTTAAAGTAATATGATGAAGTGTGCGGTCATTAGAACGGAACGAAACAACTAACCATCATCGAGTTAATAATACTGGTTGTTAAATATTGTAAAATAATATTTAGCTGCTTTAAAATAGCAATAAAATTGAACTTTCCCTGAAAGAGCGTAGCAAAAAGAATTTTATAAAGTCAATCTCAAATTTATCAAAGATGAATTCTCCTTCTTTTTCTTCCTTCTTTTTTCATTTTAGACAGGCTTTTTTGATTTGGCTAAGCCAAAGGCTGAAGAGAACTTGGTAGAGAGCCACATGAGAACAGAACCATAGATAAGTCTCCACTAATAGTCAGATTTCACTTTGGAAGAAACAGAAATGAGATTCGCTCTTAGCTGAAGCAACACAACAAACGATTTCATTTCTTTCTCTTAATTTTATTTTTGATTCGTTTCAGTATTTCAGTATTTCATCAGAGGATTTTTGAGATAATTCGTACTTTTTTGATTTGATCAATTTATTTGTTCCATACAAAATTCAAAACATGTCGCATAGATTTTTTTTAAAATTTTTAAATTTTGTCAATTAATTGCAACACCTTTCAATTAAAAGACTGAAAACAATACTTTCTGAAATGTTTTTCCACAAAAGAGATAAATGAAGGAAAAAAAGAGAAGTAAAATAATTATAAGAAAGGGAAAGAAAATTTGATTTAAAGGGTAAAATTTTCTATTCGTAAAAATTACAAATTTAAATAAAAAATTGAATAAAAATAAGGATTTTAAATAAAAATAATATAAGCTTCAATTTAATGGATAAATTTTAATTAATATCAATCAAATTCTTTTATCGAGAATTTTAAAAATTCGCAAAATCATTCGATAAAAAATGTATCTATCCTATTCTTAATTTCACAGTGAACTAGAATCCTATATTGAAAATTTAAAATCTTTGAGGAAGAGGAAGAACAATGAATGCAAAAATTGCGAATTTCATTGCATGAAAATACATAAAATTCGACACGATTGCTAATTCAATAAGTTGTAGTGGTACCAACCCATTTGGTCTGCCTCATGCGAATTGCAAAACTGAAATCAATTGAAGATAAGAGGAATTCGTACTGTAGAAGAAGGCTATAAACTAACTTATCTTTTTTTATTTATGGTTTTTTTAATCTTAATTTGAATTTGAAAAGGAAAGAAGAAGGAAATGAATTTTATTGGGAAATAAATGAATGAATAAATGAATTTGTTATTCTATCCAGTGGAAAAATAGGAATAAAAAGACGCTATAAACTTCTAAGAATCTATTAAAAAATAAAATAAAAAACAAAATTTTCTTAACTTGAAAACCAAAAAAAAAAGATGAGAAATTGCTGATGCATTGCATTTGAGTAAC